AATCCTCTTCGAAAAATGTAATAGTTGTGTAGAAAATCCCATTCGAAAATTGTCACGATGGTGTAAAAAATTCTCTCAAAAAAGTGCAAAAGCAACAAAAAAATTCCTCTCTGAAAAATATAACAGTTGTGAAAAAAACCTCTCCAAAAAACGTAACAATTGCGTGAGAAATACCCTCCAAAAAATGTGCATAAAATCTTATCTAAAAACTGTGATGGCAGCACATAAAATCTCCAACAAAAAAAACTAACAGGATCGCATAAAATTTTTTTTGAAAAACACAATAATTTAGCGAAGAGTCCCCTCTGAATAATGTAATAGTTGCACAGAAATCACTTCTAGAAAATGTGCTAAGATTCTCTCTAGAAAGTGTGATAACAGCATGGAAAATCATCAATTAAAAGCACAACAATGGCATAAAAAATTTAATCCAAAAAATTTATGAGCTTGAAATGATTGAAAAACAAGACATTATAAAGAAAAACCACTCTGAAAAACACAATAGTTGAATGAAAATTCCAATCCAAAAAATGTAACAGTTATGCAAAAAATTCCCTCTACAAATTGTACATAAAATCCTGTCCAAAAGCATGATGGCAATGCAGAAAAACTTCATCATAAAACACGACAGTAACACTGAAAAGTCCCTACTGAAAACAAAATAGTGGAAACAACACAAAAATTTCACTTATGAAAACGCAACAGTTTTGTGCAAATTCCCTCTAGAGAACTTTATAGCAATGCAGGCAAACCATTTTAAGGTGGACAACAACAATGCAAGAGGAAGCTCTGTTGATCGCACAAATATGATAAGAGACTGATTTTTTCCTCTCTTTCTAGCCTTTTTATATGCTCAAATTTGGCTCCAAAACTCAAAATTTTAGAAAACTTCATGGAGCTTGAGGATCATTGAGATGGTCATGAACCATCTTATTTGACCTCCCACTGTCCGATCTTGTATCCCTCGAATCACTAGTGTGGCCGCCCATCATCCACGTCTATGGATCATCTTCTATCGTCTGTCGGATCATTCTTGCCTCCCTCCATCCAATCAAAGGCCTAGCAAACCCAATCCGATCCATCGTCGCCTCCATACACCACTCCCAACCACTGCTGAGGACCCATCCTCTACCTACAACCGCCATCACTGGCCTCCAACTATGATCACCAACACCAACCTTTTCCTTCAATAGTTGTTGTTATTGGCCTCCATGTCTTGTAGTCACCGTCGGCCTATGACTCCAGCCGCCATCGTCGTAGGCCTTTGCTTGCAATCGCTACCATCTTCGCCCTCCACTATTGATTGCAGCCTCCGGTCGTTGCCTTTACCTCCGACCACCATCGTCAGTCTCCGCCTTTGGCAGCAACCATTAGCCTCTAGTTAAAACCGCAACCACAACCTCCACATACGTTAGCCATCGTCAGCTTTCATCTTTGGTTGCCGCCACTACTGACCACCGCTGCTGACACATGGCAAGTAATTTTTTGAAACTTTCAATAATTTTCTTGGTTATTTTGATACTTTCTAGACGACTAAGTGAAATCACCCAAATATTCATGCGAAATTTACATGCAATCAACAAATTTTTAACATTCGACATTAATTCCAAAACGTAACATGAATTTGAGTCACCAGACAAATCTCGGAACATTTTTATCAAAAAAACATTTAAACTCAAATTAAAAATCTTCTAGAACTCTAATTTCAGTAATGTTATAGAGAAACTAACGGGTTTGACGAGATAAAACCAAAGACATTAAAATTTGTCCAATCAAAATTGGTTCAACAAGTCATTAAATCACTTTTGGAAGCTTTTGATACCTAAATGAAAGGTTAAATGGATTAAAAATCTAGCAGACTTATAGTTAAATTAAGTGTCTTGATGAGATGAATTCAACTAGCACTAGTTCACTCAATTTGATAATGTTAATGCACTCAAATGTTCACAAAACACCTGTTGATTGAAGAAATCTCTCCAAATCGTCAAATGGAGTGGTTTGTATCCCTTCTTTATTTATAGAAAGGCCTCTCTCATACTCTATAAAATAAATTCATACTCATTTATGAAAGAGGTACTAAGGTCTGAGCTCGGAGTTGGATTGCGAGAGAAAAGAGCTGAAGCTAGAGTTGGATCAGGAAAAGGACTTGAATTCCATGTTTATCCTACACCGAAGACCCGATGAGCAGCTGTCAAACACCGTTGAACACCGCTTGTCCGCCTCCATCAACCACCATTGGTCATTCCCTTTTTGTTGCAACGAAGCTCCTTATGAAGTCACTATGTATGTTGCAGATTAACGAAGCACTGTGTAGAGTAACGACTAGCATTGTGGAGTAACGAAATATTCTACAAAGAAAAACACTTCCAAGATAGTGTAACAATGCACTCTAAAAATGGTGTAACAACGTCACAAAGATGGTGCAGCATGCACCCCACATACAGTGTAATAACGCTCCCGGGATATGGTGTAACTCTTCCAATAATTGCTTACAACTGACGTACTCAAAATATGGGATCTTCTCCAGGCTCCTGAAGTTCTCTCATCATTGTTGTCCACCACAACCTATGGCCTATGTGATTCACCACAACTACAGCCCCTTACTACGGCCTTGACGACCAACTGACTCTACTACAGCTTCCCACGACAACCTTTGTAACCAACTACAACCTACATGGCCCATAGCTCACACACTATCTAAATTTAGCCTCTGTGGTCTACGAACGTTACTAGAGCTCACCACTATGGCCTACACAGCTCATAACTCTTGCTTCTATGGCCAATGGACATTTATACAGCTCACCACTACGACCTCTGTGACCAACTACATCCTATGTGGCTCATAGATCCTATTTGGCTCATAGTTCACACAACTCCCTACTACGACAGTTGTGGCCAAAAGTCTCTTTTGAACCTACTGCCTATGATCTACATGGCCAAATACTACCACGCTTTCAACTACAGCCAAATACTACCACAGTTTATGACTATCTTTCTCTCGTGCATTTTCTTATGTGTTCAACAAGAATTTTTGGCTGAGCCATTGACTTATAATTTTAATATGTAGATTAAGCAAACTACGGCATCGTATAAAGGTATAAGTTTATCTATTTTTGTTAAGAATTTTTGGCCGAGCTATTTTAAATAACTACGAGTTTGTTTAACAACGCTATACATTTGATAAATGTTTGTTTAAAAACAACTTCCTAGCTTCATTATAAAATTTAAATCAATAAAATAATATGTTAGTTTGAATAAAAGCAACGTCCCAACCACATATTGAAGGTATTTTAAACATTTTTCATTTTCGAAACTGCGAACATTGGGCGACAGGGCCAAAGCCGTGGTGATCTCGCATTCTGAAATGGAGGAGAAATACTTGTGCGATCATGCAACTCACGAAGAAAAGGATGAACCAAACAGGGGCGAAGGATTCTTTCGCCGCTCTTTTCAACACAATGGACCAAAACCTCATTCTCAAATGGGGTCTAAATTTCGAAAATGTTAACCAAGGAACCACATTATTTTTTCGTCCTATAACTATTTTTCATACCTTGTTTAATTTGTGGAATTTTGTTAACGCTGTGATAGTGATTTTTCTATTCGACAGATAGTTGGTGGTCCGGAAGACTTGGCATTGAGGAGAAGATATTTTAATTAACACTTTGCTAGTCCTTATTTGCTAAAAAAATTTGTTCAAACAACAGAGAAAGCCTACACAAATGACTTATTTATACAAGCTAGAAAGGATTACTATTCCATAATGCTATTACATCTTGATCTCATTTAACAAACCAAACGATGACTGACTATAATCAAACATTATTCTTGAGTTTCAAAGACCAAATTTTCTTTTGTATTCTTATGACTTAGCCCAAGGATTTGCTAAATTCAATACAAGTGTACTCCATGTTCCTATATCACAAAATAATACATGTTAGCTCATAATATATCACAAACTAATGCAGGGCCTTCTACTCCTTGATTAAGGGTTGGTAAGCCAACTTAAATCATCTACTAATCTAACTCTAATTCAAGGATGATTTAATTCTTTGAAGCCTTCCACTCAGTAATGACAAATTTTTCAAATTCAATCCTTGCATGACACATTCAAAAAATATTTGCAGTCATTATTATATGCAAACATTCCGTAATATCCCAATCATAAAATATATATATATATATAAGGACTTAATTTACATGCCATCATAAATATGTGACTTTAAGCAATCATCTTATTCTATTGACCCTTACACACCAGTGTAAGTCTCTAATTAGTTGTTGATCTGAAGTTATTTTGTTAAACAATTTTGCTAGTACGACTACAATGTTGATGATGCACCTACAAGGATCAAATGGACTGTCATAATAGAAGAGAGTTGACATCATACCATGATTCATGCAATTCGACCGACTTGGCATACAAACCTGAATGAACTATATAGCATAGACCTTCTAACCTAGACTATTAAACATATTATTCAATAATTATATTATAATCAACATTCATTGTACATTGAGATATTCTTGCAAGTGATATGATAGGCTACGTTCAACAGCATTAGAAATTCCTATCGAGTACTCATTCCCAATAAAAAGGTATTCGCTGCAGTAATTATTTTCAACGTGATCACCAAAAATAAATAAGAGCACAGCAAACTCTAATTTTCTTTTTTTCATTAAAATCTCAAGTTCTCAATGAATTAATCTAATAAAAGATATGAGCAGATTCATCCATGGAGAATATAGGCATTGACATACATACCACACAGTTCTTATGTATTTACATAACACCTAAACTTTAATGTTTAGGGTCAGAACATTCAAATTTTCAACATCACATCAAAAAAAAAAAAAAAATCTGTTTTATTAAACTTTTTTAAGATCTAATGCACCTTTTTATGATGAGTTTATAGTAACAAAATGTTATAAATATAAGTATCAAACCTTTTAACTGTTAAATGTGTGAATCCAAAAGAGATTTGTGTGGTGCGAATCCAAATTTCCATATATACAAAACAAGTTGGTGACATGATGGTAACATGTTGCCTAGTTCAAACTATCAAAAAACCATTTGACATATGTTTTCAATCACAAATAACAATGCTCATTTAACCTTGTCAAATTAGCTTGCCTGAGTAGCTACTTGCCAACTAAAAATGAAGCACCAGAAGCTTCATCAGAATTCGTCCACTCAAATTTGTGGAATTCTTTGTATTTTAAAAACTACAAGCTAACTAGACATGTTCATTTTACATGCATTGTAAATTGGCACAAACCTATGAAGGTGGGGGACAGGATGTTTAGAACATTAAATCATACTCCACAATTGTACTTTCTAACAACAGTAAAATCACATTAGTTCTCACTTTAATCTCTCTTTCTATGTCACCCATGGAAAGATTCAGATCCAATAATAAGTGTGTTGAATTGAGGGATATGGAAAATGCGACACACTTCGTCTTCGTATCGGGAGACGAACCTCTCACCAAGAATCTCCATGTTTTGTCTTTCGAATGCTTCACTTTTGCAAGGCATCTCAAATTCTTGTATGTGTCCTGAACTGCTATAGTGCCAAATCAGAGTTGAAGTGCCCACACATTTCTCAGAATACTGAAGCCTTAAGGACCTAGAGCACATTGAACAACTATAATTTTTTTTAAGAGAAACAGAAGCAGACGCACAGTAAACATACAATGCAACAGAACACACCGTCACAAATATACCCAACACTTGATACGATCGGCACAACAAAGTTAAACTTCAGCGCTACAGTATCTACACATCAAATTACTTAGAAGTGAATCAAACTTCGTTTTGAGTTTTAATATTTATATGACCCATAAATTTATTCCATTTATGGTGTGAGTGTTTAAGCATACATTAACATCAGAACAGCCATGAAATATATACATGGTCATGAGCGATCATGTCCTTAATTGTCTACATTCGTTAATATTTCCAAGGGAAGCATTCCCAGAATTTTGCCTAGTTAAAATAGCAAAAACAAGTGGAGCAAAATATTGTATAAAGAAAGAATAATGAAATGACAATATTTCGCCTGGCTTCTGTAAGTAGTAGACAAATACCACAAATGAAAGAATAGGAAAAGTCTTTTTTTCAGTTAGATTCAATATTTACACCAACGATGGATTTAGTCAAGTGGGAAGTTGTGTTCCTACAAAGTATCGTAATCTGGTATATGAGATTTGAATGTCATTGAATTGAAATTAGAAGGAAAAATCTGTTCAAAGTTAATATATTGAAAAGTTCTTTTCAAAGTTCAATATATTTCTATGCAACAAAAAAACCCCATCGATGTTCTACTCCTTTAACTTCTTATAGTTTTACAACAAAGAATGTAAGCCACCCAATCATTATTGAGCATTTCCGCTTATAGTACCACAAAGAAGAATGTAAGCCACTCCTTTATTGAGCATTTCCATGGGCATTTTTCACAATAGATCAAACCTCCTTCCATTTGTCATGTTGTTTTGTAAGTCCATTGGTCATCATGGCCAAGATACCAATTGAAAGATTAGGTAGTCATGCAGCTCCGGAGGGGTCCCATTATTCGTACCAGCATAGATCTAAACGTTTGCCAGGATCTACTTCAAAATATCAGCATCCAACTTCCTCTTGGGCAAATTTGTACTTATCTCACGTTTGATAATGCTCTAGCTGATCTTATTAATTAGGCATCCATAGAAGTGTTGCAACAATCATAATTTATAGTGTTGGCATCAATTTTTGATATTCTTCACGTCTGACGCATGTTTTTAGTGTCATGAGTCCGTATTTTCCAACACGTGTCCCCATGGCACATAATGTCGACGAAACCCATCCACACATGAATCCGGCTCGAATTGACTCGATGGTAAGTGAATTTGTCCAAACAACATCGGATGACGAAAGGGACTGGCGTTCGGAATGTCGAATTCGTATAGGGAGGACAGCCATATCGATAGGGTTCAGTGCATGAACTGATAACGCATAAATCGAGATGTTTTAAATTAAGAAATATATAATCATAATAAAAAATAAAAAATAAAAACATGAGGGTTTTAAAACCTTTACAGCAAAAAAAAAAAAAGAAGACCCTTTTAGATTTACAGTCGCGATTGTTCCTAGCGTTGCATGCTTCGACCCTCTCCTCTAGTCGATGTCGCTCACTTCAGTGCCTGTGCTCCTCGCCGACGACCGCGCTAGAGCACCGCCGCTCCTCCACACGCGCACAACCACTTGCTTGGTCCCCACCTCCCAGTTGTTCGCCCCTTTGCTCCTTCGTCGAAACTGGCGCTACCTGCTCTCCGTCGGCGAAACCATCACTCTTGCCGCCGGCGACCCTAGCAGCGCCACCCCTGCCAGCTCTCGGTTTCCACACTGCACTCCCCGTATTTTGACGTGATGTCCTAGATTGGCGCCTACTCCCTTCTCTCACCAGTAACAAAGAACTCTCATCATCTTCTCTCAGATTGTTCCTACCTGAAACCATAGAGAAGGACGGGATCACGGCGCACAGAGGTTCGAACTTCTCATCTTTCTTCACTTTCCGCACTGCTCCTACCCAAATTCATGGAGGCAGAAGATTTGGAGAGGACTTGTCGTGAGGAAAGAGGGCTTTTGCTTGGAGGAAAGCTAAGAAGTGTTAGGTGTTCCTTAAAAGAAGGACGCCATCCTCCCTCTCTCGAGCAAAACAGTTCCTTAAAAGAAGGACGCAATCCTTCCTCTTTCAGGCAGCACTCCCGCCGATCATCTCCTTCTCTTGCCGCCGACAACCTCACTGGCTTCCTTCACTTTTTTGGCCAAAAGCTTCACTGAAGCTACGACCACTTGCGGGGCGACGACCGCATTGTGGCACAAAGAGCCACGAACGACCCTCTCCTCTCGCAAAGGACCGTGTCGTTCATATTCATGTATGTTATACTCGTTTATCAAAGATTTCCCTCGTTCGCTCAACTTGTGTTGCGAGATACATTCGTGTGTGGTCTGGACACCAACTGCTTGAAGCACGCAAAGAGAACACACCATCAACCGTCATGAAGGTGAGATCTTTAATACTCAATGTCATTTCTTTCCTAACAAGACTTTAGGACTTTGTGATAGAGAAAGCAGCTAAATTAGGAAGTCTTTGTATTTGACTTTTCCTATACAAACCCATGAGAATTCCAAATCCCTAACTCATGAACCCAAAATTGGATTTTGTTAATCTCACGATTTTGAGTGACTCTAATCTTTTATGGAGAGGTTGGAGCATTTGAAACTTCGAGGAAAAACAAGCCCCTTGGTCATTATATTCTTCAAGTTATGAGGACTTTTCTCAAAAGAATTGAAGAAAAACCCTCACTTCATTTGCCAAAATTGCAGATTGCTTTGCTACAAATTCATAAACCAAATCCTAGGATCCTGTGTGAGAACGCTATGGCGGGTTTAATTTGCTATCAAAAATGTATTAGATTCATTTGCTTGCACGTCTTGCATGTCAATGTGATCATATAACCACTTTGGTTCGATCGGTCACCGAGGTCCGATTACAAAACTAATCACTTTGGTTTGATTGGTCACCAAGGCCTAATCAATAAAACCAACAACTTTGTTTAGATCGGCCACCAAGGCCCGATCACAAAACCAAACACTTGGGTTCAATCAACCACCAAGGCCCGATTATAAAACCAAATCACCCCGATTTGATCTGTCACCTAGGCCCGATCATAAAATCCAATCACTTTAGTTTGATCAGTCACCAAGGCTCGATAAACCTATCATATCATTTTGATCAGCCCAATCATAAAATCGAACACATTGGTTTGATCGACCACTAAGGTCTGATCAACCAACAACTTTGATTCGATCGGGCACAAAGGTCCGATCACCAAATTGTTCACCAAACTGAACAATTTGGTTCAATCGGCCACCAAGGCTTGATCATAAAGCCAACCACTTCGGTTTAATCGGTCACCAAGGCCCGATAAACCAATCATTTGGCATGTCGCATTTGATTGCGTTTACATTTACATTCCTTGTATGTTATGTCAATTGCATGATTTCATGCTTGTACGCATAAAAAAAATTCAAATATCATGTGATGTAATAAATACCATTGCATAACAAAATTAAATTGTCTTTGGCATTTGCATGTGGTGTCTCCTTGAGCACCAACACTTGCGGTATCACCGCACATATATGCCACCATGTGTGTGTGGCTTAATACTTGCAAAATTATCGATGAGTGGTGGCTAGCAAAGCTAGCCTGCCGGTGTGCAAATCTCCTAAGTAGAGAACACACCGCCTCATCTCCCATGACATCACACTTGAATGTCATAGGCAATTCAAGTTGTATGCTCAATTTGGTCACACTATAAAGCCACTAAACCTATTGAGTGTGCAGTATATGTGCACTTGAGTTTGTCATTTGCATGTTGATGTCGTGATTACTCTTACCTCCCTCGAATGATCACGGTGTGGAATCCTATTGCTTGCACGCATTTTGCTTGCGTATTTTGATAGCTTATTAAACTCATTAAGTGAGTGACTCAGTTTTGATCGCGATACTTTAACGAGCATTCTTATCGAGTAAAACCGAGCGAACAGTGCTAGTTATTGTATTGGGATCAACACAAGTATGACTACGTTAAGGTTCCAAGAGATCTAACATACATCACCTTAAATATTGCAGGCTCGAATTTAGTAGCCTGCTATTTTTCTAATACTACGCAATTAGTGAAACTAGGCCATATGTGAGAGATAATCTTTTAAAATCTCATTGGCTGACATACTTTAGATCCCTTGGATCTTTAGGACGGCGCTGAAATCGGCGACCCCGTCAAAGTCATATGATAGTCTTACCCCTGCACTTGTGCACACAATTAGACGTTGTGACTATAATACTTTTTGTTAGATGATATGCTAAGCTAGAACTTGGATTCTTAGGTAGTATTTTTGATGATATGGCTAATGTTCTCCGTTGGTTTGGTTGCCCCAGCCAGACATCTTTTTGAGTGCTGCCTTTTGTGTATTTACTGGTTGTCAACTTACGCACTAGTATATTAGGGACAATTTTCTGTACAGGGAGTCATGCCTAAAAATAAATAAAAATGGAGGAACAAATAATGATTTAAAAACTAACACTTTCTGCAGGTGTTGCTAAGCTCTCCTCCCGCCAAACATGGCTCATATGTGTTGCATGATATAACCCGTGATAACTCTTCTGCGGGTCGAATCCTTTATTTTTGACTTTATCATGTATTTGACTATAGTCCATAGGATCTAGTTTGTATAAAAAATAAGGTACGTGCACAAGTTCTGAGGCGCATAACACACCGAACCACTAGGAGCAGCTACTCGTGTGCAGTACCTTAATTCTGAATTTATATTCATGTATAGAACTAGAATCGGGCATATATATGCAGAGTACGACCGTTTTTCTTGCTTTTATGAGATATGTTGCAAACCGAGCAACATCGACATGTTATAAATTTTGTTTATCTTGCTTTACTTGTTGCAGTGTGCATGTCATTTACACTTTCTTTGCTAATGGTTTGTCTAGGTTCTTATGAAAAATACAATCTGGACTCATTAAGGACCCTAAAATATATTTTTTTTACAAAAAATCATAATAATAAAATATTCAAGATAAATCAAAATTTAAGATTAAAAATTTCCAACTTAAAATGAGTATTTTCTTACTGTTTTTACTTTTCTACATGACATGCGGACAGGATTTAAAACGGGTTGCATTGCATAACTATTACTCAAATCATTCCAAACAAGGCCTCCACATTTAAATTTAATTTCAAATAATTGAATCATTTTACATTTCCCAATGCGAGCCAAACATAAATTCTATATAGGAGGTTGCATAGTACGCTAGGGTGTTATAGACTCCCCCGACCCAGACAAGGGCGTAAGTCCTTTGTGGCGCGGTTCTAGCTTCGTAACTGGACCCCCTTTCTTTCTACAATCCAGCAGCATCTTCATCATTTAATTGATGAGTATAAGTCTCACCTTCTACAAAATTTACCACTTAGAGGGTCATAGGAACAAGAGTTTTCCTTATTTTGACCTTAGTGCTACCGAGGTTTCATTATATGACGCAATTCATGGATTGCTGACAAGGGATCTCTGGTTAAGTTGAGTCGACTGTTTTCACGACCAGGTAGACTTGGTGTCTTTATAGCTTGGGATGACGGATCTATAGCATCCCGACCCGACTACATCTACATGCTCAGGGATTCCTCCCCTTCCAGTTGAGACCACTTTTGAGCCCTGTCATTCCATTGAAAAATCGTTGGTATCATCTCCTGGGCCCCACATGCCTAGGCGCCGCCGTCCGTAATAGATACGGTGATTCATCCTCTAACCTATGACCCGACACAAGCGTCGAAAGTATCGAGGTTCCCTCACTTAAGATGATAAAAAATCTTTTGGTTTTCTAAATAACCGAATCATAAATTACGTAAGCAAGACTCTTCTTATCCAGAGTATTCTTTTGCATCCCAAGTATACATTCCTTTAGGAGTACTCTTGAAACCAGAACAAATACAAAAAACTTAAATCTCTGGTTGTGGGTTATTGTCGTAGGGTTTTTCTTTACGGATATGCTTCCAAGACATTTTCGATCCGATCTCACTTCGGACGTACGCGCTTGAGTTATCATGCGAAGTTTACCTTATAATAGTTCTCCAGGTTCTTTTTAATTGTTAGTTTATTTTTACCATATTTTCTCTCTGGTTCTCCTCTAAAGAGAGGCTTAATTGGAAAGAGAATTATACGAAGACAATAAGATAAGTTGGCGACTCCAAAAGCTCAACAAAAAGAGCAAAAACACATAACCCCATATTCTTCCAGTAATGACTTAAATTTAATTCAATATCATTATGGCAGCATTTCACAGGGGCTGCCATCACCAGCTCCCACTCAGGAAAACATCTAAAACTCTAGAAAAATAAATATTATATAATGCCACACCAGTGCTTTGGAAAAAAGATTACCATTTGCTGATGAATATTATTATACTAGAACCGCCTCTTCTGTTGGGGGTAGCCTGTATTCTGCATTCCCATTCCAGGATCTTTTCTCCTCAACTAGTCCATAAAAAAAGCATGCATATGGAATAAAAACAAGGTTTAACGGAAATAAACAGATTTAAATTGAGAGACTACCTGCTGTGGATGTGCCTGAGCTGCAGCACCCCGCTGAATAGGAATACCTCCAGGGTTCAGTCCCCCAATGCCAGCTTGGGAGGCAATGTTGAATGCTGCCATGCTAGCTTGTGGCATTCTCTGCATTCCAATGATAGGCATAGGACGTGGAACAGCTCTAGGAGGCACAACTGATGCAGCTGCAACACTCCCAGGAATAGCAACTGCTGCTGATACCTGGATCCCATAGATTGAAATATGACCAACCAGATTAATCTAAAAAAATGTCAAGATTAATTTATGTTATCATAACTTCTGATTTGCTCAGCATGAGCATTGATGAGATTAAGTTATAAGGAATAATCGATTCAATAATGTTTACTGTGTAGTGTTGATGTACTCTTTGTATAGATATAGATCCTAAATCACAAAATTAACAAAAGAAAATATTGAATTAGAAATTTAATAAGCCTGTGCTTGTAAAGTTCCCCTGGACAATCACCTCTTTCAATTAATATTGTTACATCACTCTTCAAGCCTTTTTCATTTGTCAACATAATCATATAACTGAAAAATACTTCCAACCTTTTTTTCCTCGTGAAACAATTTCTTGTTCCCAGATCCCGCTCGATTTAAGTTGCTTTTAGATATTCCCTAATTGTTAAGCTCAATGAAAATTTTGATTTAATTCTATGATTCTTAGTTTGATGTGCATCTATTGATGATAGAATGTGGCACTGTCAATCAGAAGCCCTACCAAGGAAGATTTGAGAGTTGCAGGACCAATACGTTAAAAAACCAATTGGCAGACTCTTCATCTGAAGAATTTGTGAATTAAACTATTTATTAAAGATGCTGGCAATTCAGAACTAAACAACAGGAAAGCATTAAGCATATGTTTGAATTAGTATGGGTGTAAAAAAATGAGCCAATATGCAACTTCATTTATGCTGAAATACCGGTTGAGGTGGCTGGATGCTGGTTGTTCCTTCAAAATCCGTAGAGGTATCAACAGGACGAGCAGGATAATTGATAAATTTCTCTCCAGGTTGTGTTGGTACGAGTGCACTGATGTTCATACAAAAAGTCAAATCTAGAAGTCATACAAGGATGCTTGATATGTAAACGATGTGAGCACATTTATGTTATGCTAATAAACAATAAAACTCTGGCTGCTTCAAAAAAAATTATTTAGAGAACTGCAGATTTTTACAAGAGAAAGCAAGTATAATAGTACAACTTACTTCCGACCCGGTAGAGGATCAATACGGAAGTACCTGTACAAAAATTGTTAAAAAAGTTTTAATATAAACAGATAAGTGTACAGTGTAACCATACTTCATCAAATTTTCATAAATCAGATAGAGTTTCCTAAATGGCCTGTTACCACATGCTGCAAGAAAAACACAAATCAAGCATATAGATACAATTATAATGGAAAACATAGCTCCAAACAAAGCATTATGAAATGCTACTTTGAGAAGTTACTAAATGAGAGTATTAAAAAATATTTTAGAAAGATGTAATGAACAAACTAAAAGTGCATGTCATCAAATGATCCGATAAACTGAATTGGCATTGAAGAAAATCTATGAAAGTAAATTTTAGGTTCAAATAATTTTTTTGATTGGAATTGAAGAGTTAAAAGAGAAATTTATCACCAAGGCTAGCTTAAAAAAACTTTTCAATGAAATTTGAAATGCTAAGGTGATCAAATAATCAGACAAAAATATGTTAGCACTAATGTTTAAAACATAAAAATGTTCAACATTGTGATTATTATAGGAGAATTAAACTTATGGAGTTATGCAATAAAGTTATGATGCCACAAATTAATAAAACTTAGAATTGTTAAACAAACTATACCAAGTTTACAACAACAACACAAGCCTTTATCCCACTAAGTGGAGTTGGCTACATGAATCCTTTTTCTCCATTGTGTCCTATAGAGTCATATTTTCATTTAACTCTAATAAATTAACATCATTTTTATACAAAATGGTCAAGTCTTTTTAGGTCTACCTATGCCTTTCTTAACTTAAGTTGAATCTAAAACATCTACTCTCCTAACTAGATCATTAGAAGGTCATGTTTCTAAGACAACTCTCTCTAATCTTGTCTGAAGATAAATTGAAACTGTGGAGATGATTTTTATGTTAATAAAATAAAAAAAAAAGAAATATAAAGAGAGGAGAAACAATCTTATATGTATAACAAAAGTTAATTTGGTGTGGAATGAGAAAGAAAGAAGAATGCAAAAATAATTTTAGAACTATTAAACATGTGTATAGTAAATCAATTACTATAATAACTTATGGAATAACTATAGAGATACTAGTTATACTAGGATTGCATTAAGAATCAAATTTAAGTGCAGATCTTTTATATTCACTTTGAAGATGCTTATGAAAGGCATTAACAAAAAAAAGAGGTAATATGGTATTCTTTTTGCGAATGACCTATCTCAAACCGGTGACACGTCCATTATAATAAAAGAGAAGTTAAAATAACTGATCAAATGTTTACAAGATAATGTGCATAGCATTAGTAATAATCTTTTAATACTAGTCTATGGAATATTAACAATTACATTCCATATTAATAGAAGATAAAGCGACGCTTAGATATGATAGTTTAAGTATCTTAGAAATATTATTTAGAGGAATAAGATATATATGAGTATATAACCTCTTAACTGCTCCAGGGTTATGGTTTGATGGCTAAAAAAAAAAGTGACTCGAGAGATAAAAGGACAATATAGAGACTAAAAAGTAAATTTTATAACTCTGTAACTAGACTGCCCATATTGCATGGATCCAAGTAATGGTCAATAACAAATTTACGAGTGATAGAGAAGAGAATAATAAAATGAATGTGTAACAAAACTACAATGAATAAATTATGGAATGGTTATTATAAAGAAATGGTTGGAGTAGAATATATTAATGATAAATAATTGAAAATAGATCAATGTAATTTGTACATATTGAATGCTCTTTAAATGGGCAAATAAATTCAATGCTCAAGAATTATGCCCTAATCTAACATGTTAGAAATAAAAATGATAGCCATGGTGAAGTCTACAACTTAAGCAAGTTCAGAAGTTAGTTACTCAATGCTACTAAACCAACTTGGGTGGAACGTTTGCATTATCTTCTTTATTAATTATTTCTATAATTTTTGTATTTTTGTTTCCATTCATGAAATTACATGAATTAAGTAATTCTCGATACCTGGGATTTGGAAGTCCTTGGCTAGCCATGAAGTTGCATGGATATATGCATACATGACTTTCTTCATAGACAAGAAGTTGTATAGATATATGCATACCTGTTACTTCTCTAGAATATGAGCAAGAATATTTTTTAAGAGTCAATTCATTCTCACTTTTTAATATGGTTTAGAAAAAATTATGCAAATGTCTATTTTTCTTCCATAGCTAAATTTGATATGAAAACAAAGAGACAAAACTCGAATTCTTAAGAGACGCCTCCAATCCTAAGGTTTGTTGCTTCAAATCATAATGAAGGGACAGAGGGCACTCTTCTCCTAATTATTGGACACAAACTAAATGGGTATAGCTTCTTTCAATGGCCCACTCCATGTTGATGTTCACTTGTGAGCAATAGAAAGATGACTACTTTATAGGAATTAACACTTAACCAAAAAAGGAATATCCAATATTCAAGGGTTGTAAGATAGAAAATAACATAATGAGACCGTGTTTAATCAATTCCACAACAAACAACACACAGAAAATTTCCCACTTCATGGAACAACCGAGAAAAATCTAGGACTCTGCCAATAAGACATTCAAAAAATGAAAATACTTCACAATCGTTGACAAGGTAACCTCATGTCACTTAAAATCTCAACACTTTGACTCACCATTTGTAACATCTTGATAGATGATTTCAACCAGCATATGAGTTTTTCTAATGAAGGTAAAATTAAAGCTCACCAATAATTCAATCTTCCGTACCACGGTCCATGCTCAATTTCATTAAAAAAAAATCTAAGTTCTAAGAGCCATAATGCCAAAGAATACGTTGAGCGGTTCTAGTGAATTATCTCCTAGATCAAAGCATTATCTACTGAAGCTCATCTATCAACGCACCTCAGCAAAATAGGGACATAGTGTTATCAATAGCAACAAAAGACATTTCATTTGAAGCAGATAGATCAATATCCAAAAATATCTCTAGGGTGAAGTTATTCTTACAACCAGATATCTCATTTGTTGATAGAATGTCTTCTAAAGCTCTTTATTTTCAAATATTGGTTAAAATCTTGCAAGCTTCCATTCCAAACACCAAGATCTCCAATCCCACAAAAGTCTTTGGATATTCAACGTTCAATCATGTTCATCCTCATATCTATAATGTGCTAGACCCAAAATATATCAAATGCCTCTTCATAAATTACTCTCATAAAAAAAAGAGATGCCAGTGTTAATCACCAAAATTAAAAAAAAAACAATTCCATGAATGTAACTTCTTTTAACATCAAACTTGCCACCCTTCTTTCTAAATGCAATGTCAGCTTTGCCACTTGTGATACATGAAGTACTAATCTGAAAAATGGTTTCCATAACTTCTCTGGATACACCTCTATCTCTAATATTTAAAATATATATATAATGATTTTTGATATTTCCTCATCTATTATTAACTTGGATTAAGCCTTTCACTCATAAGAGAAATGATTTCATAAAAAAAAAATTTTTTTTAAATCTTTAGATATCAACAAGATGTCTTTTGCTTCGTTTATGCCCATCTAGAATGAAAGGATATCTTAGTGCATTTCAAGTAAAAAGGACAAGACTCTTTTACTCAACATAATAAACCTAGCTTACTTCTTGATAAAAAATGCAAATGGCAAAAATTTAACAAAATCAACAAGTTTATAGAGGAGAATCATATTGCTTCCTATGCTCATGAATTATTTTCTATTTTTTCTTAATTGTTCATCTTCTATAAAATTTATTTTATGTTATCCAATAGCTTCTTGTAATAGCTTTACAGCTGCAATTTTCTACACCAAGCTTCTAATTAAAAAAGAAGTCTTAAACGAAGTCAAATTTAAGCTAACTTGTCAAATCATTTTTAAGTCAAACTATACCAAGCGTACTTAGACAAAGAGGAGTTTTAGTTTGCTTTAGTCAATCCTAGCAAGGCCATGGTGGCCTGAATAAAGAATGGTTTTCGTATGCTTTGAGGTGAGTTCACGAGAGTTAGGGACACGAAAGAGCTAAGCTTGATTAAGGTGAACACAAGAAAGCAGAAATAAGTTTAAAAAATTAACAAAGGCCAGCCTATGTACAAAATGACAAATATTGGATGCTTAAACAACAATATGAAGCTAACAATGTTGTGTTGCAAATAATTAATAATTCACATGCTACATTAGAACAAGCAAGCCATAGAAATTGAGCAACCAGGTCAAACTGATTTGGTCCAAAACAAAGGAAAGAGGATCCACTCATATTGAGAGTGTGTTGAATGCAGCTCCCAAGGGCCGGCCCGAGACTACAAGTGATATATATGATTACAATGGTTAGAGACAGTTTGACGAGTTTTTAAGGTTGACTAGGGTGAAGCCAGCCAGAGATTCCTTGACCCATATTTTAGAGGTCAATAATAACTAGAATAAATGACTGAAAAATGTGGACTCATAAAGCAAGACTCAAATAGTCCGAATAAGACTAAAGTACCCATATAAGGACTGATATTTATTCATAATAATACTAATGATCATTGATATCTAAAAAAACTCTAGCAAATCCACCAAGGTGAGAATTTGCATGTTGTGAAATCAGTAAGGAATTATTTTATTACGGGAGATTTAAGTGTACTGCATTTCAAATATATGGGTTTTAATTTTTTTAGTATTTGGCTTAAAATAAAACAATTTCAATGTATTTATTTAAGGGTTTTTTAATACATCAATCAATTTCTTTTGGTGAATTTAAAATTCACTTGATTCGGGTGAATCCCAAATTCATCGTGCAATGTGACATATCGTTAGAACCCTCACCATACTCACAACATCACCTTGCGACATTCACAAAGCAAAATGTCCTCATTTTACTCGCAACCTCACAAGACAACCACACCAACGTTAATGACCTCCCATAGTTCTTATGCTCACATGATCTTGCCGCCTCCTAGTACTAGTGACATTGTGCCATCTCCTACAACAATAAAACTTCAGCACCAATCTTTTCTCTAAATCTTTAAAAAAGATATTAAAAAAAAAAAAAAGATTTGTTTTATTCTCAACCAAACACTAAAAAATAATTTCGCACATTTAACAATCAACAAAATACATTTGAGCATTCTAAATAATTCTACCAACTTTAAAAAGCAAATAGAAATTAAAATTCACTTGAATTTTAGATACAACCAAAAAGCACCTAAGAATTTAAAAAAACCTCTTTTACATGGTATTCTATTTCCAAGGCAATCAACAACATAAAAAAAAATGGATGCATAAATTATGAGTTTTGCTCAAATGAGAACCATGAATGCATTTAATTTTAATCAAAAACCATTAGAATTACCACAGGGTGCAAATTGAATGTAACTAAAACTTGACTATTAAAAGCTACATATTGACAATTATCATGAGCAGCGTTTTATGCAGGAAGCAACTACCTTTGCTTCACCAAATTATCAAGAAAATGAGTTACAGAACAGATAAAGCTATGAAGACTAACTTTAAACCACAAATTTCTTCATTTTATTTATATTAACTAACTGAATCAGACCGAATCTATGGCATCAGCAATATCCCGTATGCTTCAACATCATTAATTAAATGAATACTAAACTATCCAAAAGAAAAGCTTACAGTATATATATATACATAATATATATATATATATATATATATATATATATATGTATGTATTAAAGATCTTAAAAGTTGGTTGAGTACATCTAGACATTCTATTTTTTTCAGTATTTTAAATCATTATCATCATTAGTCAATGAGGGACCGATTCCCATTTCCTCGATAAAATATCAAATTGCTTTCAGCCTTTAGGGACTTGTTTGGTGGGAGAGTACTACTAATCAAAAAGATTTGCCTTAGATGTATTAAGATCCAATGGTTCAACATCTTTTGCATTCACAATGGATAATAATGATTTAAAACACTACAAAAAAATTGAATGTCTAGATGTACTCAACCAACTTTAAAAATCTTTAAAATTACCTAGCAATACACGGTAATTTTGAAAATACAAAGTCTCTACTATTAATTGTAGCTAGCATCTACACACATTCATATGGAAAGGTAAATCCAGCAACATTATATACAACATCCTACAGAAAAAGAAATAATCAAGTGAAGGATTATAAACATTACTCGTGTTCCAAAGCCTGTGCGGCAGTTATACGTTTCTGTGGATCATATCTGCAATGATATATCAATTGTTTTGTGAGAATCAAGTTGATTAACAAGGATGCATTCACCATAAGTTGAGTTAGATGTTGCAATAATTAAATCGTATAAAACACAATGAACTACATTGATTCGAGAAGAAATTTTTTTTGTAATGCAATATTAGGTGCAATGGGTGGGTACAGTACAACAAAAGAATAATAACCGTTCAGTAAATACTCAATCGAGTTTTTCCAAGTTTTTCTGCTAACCAACCAAATATTGTACAGACTGTCAAAAAGAGGGTATTAAATATGAGAGATTAAAACAGAAATTCAATTAGTTTATAAAAATAAAGAAAAGATAGCAAACCTTCCACAAAGTTTACCAAAAAAAATCTAAACAAAGCAAAAAAAGAATTATGGAATAATGGATGTGCATCTTACAATCCACTCCAAGAAAGGCGGATGTGAATCTTCCTTTTTTTTTTAACTTCAAGTTTTCCATTTTATTCAATGTGAATCTAAGATAAATTATCATTTTTAAACTTGTTTAAACGAAGCAATTCGGATAGAGATAAAAGGTAATTTTTTTCTAGCAAGAAAATAGAAAGGAAGCTTCCATCATAATTACACGCCCACCTATAATGTTCATTAGAAATGTCAAACTTCTCATAAATGCCTACAAAGTTAAATAAATGTGTGATAGTTGGGTGGCTGGGAAGAAACATGGTTACTTTATCCGTTTTGTTCCTAAACCAGTAAATTTCTGACTACAACATACCAGGATATGCATAGGGATGATGATGCAAGATGAACGAGGATCTAGGGCATGTTGACGTAGATTTAAAATTAAGTACATGAAAATCACACAAACAAAAATTTATACATAAAAAACATTCAAGTTTTAACAACTTTATGTTACTTCAAATGAAACCCCATATGAAGAAATCCACACAGATAATGACTAATAACATGCTACTAGACAAAATGCATGGAAATTTTAAAACATAAAAATCATATAACCAATTAAAAATGATTTCATCATAGAAACAAAAGTTGTATTAGACTTAACTAAAATCAATTGCATGTGCAAGCCATCAGCGAGATTTAAGATTATAAATAAGATATAAGTAAAAGAAGTCATAAATCAAGCCTCCAATATGAACATAGAGACGACACCTTCCAAAATCCTCTAACCTCCAACTTTAACTAAGATAAAGAACTGTGAATCAAACTAGAAATTTATTCAGAAACATTTAATTAAGACTTTAAATGCCTCAAACTGCTTTTAGAATCACAACATGTTCACAATTTTACAATAAAAAAAGAAATAAATAAAGTAGTACTACTCCCATAATTCTTGAAGAGATAACTCCTATTGCTAAATTTGCATAGGAGATAAACTTCCGATTGATTGTTAAGAAGCAAGACCGCCTACCACTAATACTGGATCAAACAAAGAAAAATAAGCATACAATAGTACTTTAACAGCAAGACAGAAGATCATTCATTCTTGCTAAAGCCAAAAAGTCCACAACTGCTAAAAAATCATTTGCCAAAACTGCACAATCTTGATGAAAATCATTGGATTTAGGAACTATAGGAATATCATACAAAAAGTTCAAAGGATAATAATTTTGATGATTTTTTTTGCCAAATTTAAGAGTTGAAAAACTTGTTTGATGCATTTTTTTTTTATGTATTTCATTGTGCTTCTCATCCTAAGTCACAACATCCAACATCAAATTAAAATTGAAGCTTATGATTGAGCTATCATATCAACTAAATGTATAAAATAAAAATTAGGTCAATCACAAAATTTTATTATAAAAGATTCCACTCAACTAAAATCGAGTAAAAATGTAGTTCAAAAATGAACACGGCATAACTACTATGAGAAAATAAATTATATTCCTTTATTTATAGGAGTTATAAACTTTAGAAATTTTTAGGTTGGATTGATAATTCATATACTTTTTAATATCACCAAGTATTTATAGGAGTTATAAACTTTAGAAATTTTTAGGTTGGATTGATAATTCATATACTTTTTAATATTACCAAGTATTTGATTTTGAAAGAATTGAATATTCTAAATCAAAACTATTTAAGTCAAGCTCAATCTTATTGAAAAATTATTGCAAATGAAAGTAAACCAAAAATGGGTAAAAAGAGAACGTTGAATTAATATCAATATTTTTTTTCATTTGGCACAGATATGGATAGACTCCGTGAACAATTTAAGCATTATAAACAAGGTAAATAGAATTATAAGAGTAATATAATGTGTTTTAAGAGTTTTGTACCTAAATAATATTTTCATCTAAGACTACTTTTATCGTTATTTGTTTAAGTAAAAAACATACATAGATCCGAGATTTTAGCTCAAAGTCTATAAATTGATTAATAGTTGAATCAATTTTGGCTTAGTGTGAGCTCAAATAAGCTAAACAAGCCGAGATATGATGCAATTTTTTGGCTCGGCTAGACATTTGAGTAAATTTTGAGTTGGGCTTGGATTAAATTGAGCCAATTAACTTAAAAAATAAAAGGTAAATATATTTTTAAATTTTATGTATGCATATATGTGCATAAGAGAACATTGCAAATTTAAATAAATGATTATTTAATATTTTTAAATTTTTTAAATTTTAAAAAGGGAAAATAAATTATTTTGAGTAAGCTCGATATCAGGTTGATTGGAGTCCACTTGGTTCAAATTGAATTAATTGATCCACAAGTTGATTTTGAGCCAATTTATATCTTTGAATCAAGGCTAAATAGACTTGAAATTGAATAGATCTCAGATTAATTTCAACTCGATGAGCTTATTTGATTCACTTTTGGCTCGCTATAAATTTAATGATAACAAATTCTATATAATTCTCCTAATGGTTTCCCAAGTAATTTTAAGGATATTCATATTGCAGAAACCAACAAGATGAAAAGTGATTTCCAGTAAGCAAAATGGATTGCTTGCATGGAGGGATGAGCTCAAAGGAATAAGTAAAGAAAAATCAAAAAGAATCAATACGCCAAGCTTTTGGGTATGGCTTAGTATAATTGACTTAAAATTATTGTAGATGCATTCTGATTTACCAATGGTCTCAAGGATGACAAATACTAATAAAATTAATTGGAAATATTCAAAACTTATTTTTAAACTTATAAAAAAATTACTTTATAATTTTTTGTGCATTTAATTAGTTAATTTAATTATTTAATATTTTCCCTTACACAAAATTTAGTTCCAAATATTATTTTATTTTATATGCTTAATTACTCATCACCATGATTTTGATCATATATGATGCATTAATTGATCCCAAGTTTCTTAATACATCAATTAAGATTGTTTTACGCACTTAAATAATATTAATTTTTTCCATTAAATGATTAATTAAGTAAAATAACTTAATTTGAATGTCTTTAATTTTCCTTAATTAAGCATTTGTATTGTTAAAAAATTTACCTGAATTTGCATGTTCCTTTCATTTCATTAAATTTGCTTAAGTTGATTAAATGTTTATTATGTACTATATAGGCAGTTATGTTATAGCTAATGAATTTAGAATGAGTTTGAATTCCATTGAATTCATTAAATTCATCACATGCACCTTGATATAAAATGCAATATACTTGTGCATATATTTACTAATTTATCATTAAAAAAACTTCACAAAAAATTACACTCATCATCTGTATGGATAAAACAACTAGTGTCGAACAAACTCTAGCATGACCCATTGAAATCCTGTTGTATTCTAGCTATGATGATAATGGCTAGTAAAATAGCCACAGGAGATGTTTTAACCAACCATTTGTTGACCTCATTTTTTAGGTCATTATTCTTTAGAATCCTAAGATCTAGCTCTAGGAGTTCCTATTGACCATCTTAGAAAACTAGAATTGGGACCCACCCTTTTTAGAAATTCCAGCTACTTCCTATTTTCCTGTAATGTCAAGCATTTATGGTCTTAAAATCATTGTCTTATGAACGAACGGTTAAGGCTATTGTGTGGAGACTCAGGGAAAAATTCTCAATGAGATTTCAAGGCCATTTCAAGCCCTAGGAAAACCTCGTCAGGACTTTGTCGTCACATACACTCACCAAATGCACAGAATTCACTAAGTTGCACAAAATCGGACTTAAATTGAGCCTAAAGGATGTGTGAAAATGCGAACTTCTCCGGACGACCTCCGATGACGAAATGGACTGCGCCAACGGGTCCGGGACACCAATTTTAGTAGGAAAAGACACTCATATTGTCATATTTCCAACACGAGAAAATGACACGTAAATCGATGAATTCGTCAAAATAACTTCCGACGGTGAAACGGACCGCGTCAGCACTTCCGGAAAGTCAGAATTGTCTAAAAAGGACATTTAATTTTCTACAATCCAACGCACGGATAAGAGGCACAAAGCAAATTTTATTTTTCAAAATAATAAATATTTTTATACTTATATCACTATTTATCATAATAAACCGTAAATCCTATTTACGTCTCCACCCGAAACTCTCACCCTTTGTTCGACCCATTCACGGGTTCGAACAAGTCTTGCGCTCGGCTCGCCTCTCTCGGTCGTGCCTTAGATTCCCGCGGGCAATCCACGCGACTTTCCTTTGTCGTTCTTGCTCGCGGCACATCTCCTCGAGCTCCCCCTTGACTTTTCGACTCTCCAATCGCAAGGAATGGACTGGCCGACTCTTCTCCTTCTCTCTTTCTCTAGGCTTTTGTTTCTCCTTCTTTATTGTGACGTTTCAATCCCTGTTTTTTTATTCGGCAGTGAGGCGGTGGTAGATAGTTGTTTCCCCTCTCTTCTCTGTCTATAAAAGAGCTTCATAAAACACTGTTTTGGGTTGTTGAAATTTTCTTGAGATAAAGAGAGGTTGTGTCTTTTGTTGTTTAAGGCTTTAGAGGAGAAAGCTCTCTTAAAATCATTTCTAGACTAAGTTCTTGTGCGTTGGAAGTGTGGAAGATTCGTGGATTGTTGTTTCCTGAAGAATTTAGGAAGGGAGGCTCTGT